TTTCGATCTTTAGATTTTCTTTCGATAATTGAATATTTCTTAACATTTCCGACTATTGTTAATGGTGATGATTGATGTTCAGAATTATTTAGCATATCAACTATTTTAGGTGAAGATGAACTATTCATGGCTCCAATAGAATTTGATTGCAAACGACTTTGACTAGGTACACAAGTTTTATGAATAGAATCAGTTGTGTGATATTCTTCATCATGTTCGATTTCTACATATATTTTCATTGGCTATTGGAATTTTCTAGAAATATCAAATTATATTTAATAGAATTTTTTACTCTACAACACTTACTGATGAAACTTTAACATCTACAATATCTAATACTTGTTGAGTATTTTCAAAAACCATTTCATTTTTTGTAATTCGTGATATAATTCTTTTGCATTAGTTGTTACTAATGAAAGATTAGTTTGTTCGACTGAATCAATCTTTGGTTTGATGTAAAATATTTATAATTTTTTTTTTCTTCAACAATCGTCATTGTTGATGATTTTGATAGATGAGTTGGAACAAGTATAATTTGAATATGAGTATCACTATGTATTTGTCTATCTAATGAAAGATTTAATGAAACTTGTTGTTGTTTCTGTTGTTCTTCGTGAAGATGTTTACGAAGATTTCCTAATGTTTTATGATTAATGAATTGATTATCTAAGATTTGAAGTTGTATATCAATTTTTTTTTCACAATTATTTTCTTATTGAAATTTTTCAAGAGATATTTCTAAATTATTATGAATTAGGAGAGGAATTTTATCTTTTTGTTTTAGAAGTATACTTAATTGATGTAGATCTTCAATAGTATCAATTATTTGTTAATGAATTATTTAATTTTGATCTTGTTCTACATGAATAGATGATAATTTATCTGTTTGAATTTCTATTTGATCAATATCAATTTGTATTTTAGAAAGTTCTACTTGATCATTTTGAATATGTTTTTTTTTGTAAAATTGTATCATAATTGTTCAAAAGTTCATGTATTTGTTCATTGATTTGATTTATATCAAGAGATTTTTCATTGATAGTTGATGATTTTATTGAAGTTTTTGATTTTTTATATTCAACTGTTTGTTGATTATCGATTGTGGAAGAAATTTGACTTTCTTTTTGTGATTTTTCTTGTTCTTAAAAAGATTCAATCATTTCAACTTTATTTGAAATAGTGTGTTCAGCAACTAATTATCGAGTAAAATCACCAATAAAACTCGCTTCCATCATATATTGTTTTTGTAAATAATTAATTTTAATTTGTAAAATTTGATGGTTTATTGAATCAATAGAATCTAATGATGAAATTTGTTGATGATTGATATTGAAAATGAAACATTTGATATGAAGATTCTTGTTGCATGAATGTTTGTATTTCTAATTGGTGTAATATTGCAGAACATGATATTATTGATGTTATTAATTCTTGTTGAGAAGTTAATTTATGTAATACAAGTAAATGAGGAGATATACGCTTGGATAAACGTTCGTATTGAACAGATTGAATAATTGTATCTATGACTAAACAATAGAAACAAGTAGTGGTTTCCATAAATTATTCGACTAGATTTATTTTCAGTTTTATTTTCACTATCGTCAATCGATGTAGGTGAGAGAAACAGGTCCATTCACGCACATCTGAACGGATTAGTTTTAATTTTTCGTTGATTGTTTAACTTTTTCTAAGATATGTCATCTGAATACCTAAAAACCAAATTTCTCATCTGATGGAATTCTATTTGAATTACTTACGATTATACAGGAAATAATTCTCTACAAAACAGAATGTCTTTCGGTTTTGTGAAACTTATTTTCACTAAGATACATCAATCTTACGGAACTTATCAAAGTCACTCTTCTGTTATTTCGTATACTAAAACTTTTGTATGCCTTCCGTAAGATTGATGTATCTCAATTAAAATAAATCGTACAAAGTTGTATGGTGTCTTTGCTCTATCATGCTATATAATTCAATAATCATTGTGGTTGTAAATTCTACGAAGCAGGAAACCATCTTAGAAAAACTAGCCGTTCTTGTCATCTTGACAAATTACTGTTGGAAATAAAATTCTCTACAGAAAAATTATTATTAGAGTTCTTCTTAGCATTGACGATATCGGAAAAAGATTGAAACTAAACTAGGTTGAATAATTTTGGGAGTCACTGTATATAAATCTCTCTGTTTTATTTGTTTAAGTAATTCTTAATTTTTGTTGTGTTCGAAATCAAACATAAATAATGAATGAAATTGATTGATTGTCTCATTTAGAATTGTTTGCATTTTAATAATTAATTCTTTATGATGTGCAAATTCATTTTGTTGATGTATTATATTGTCCATTTTTGTTCACGAACAAGACTATCAAATAATGAATAACCTCGTGCTATAGAAATTTCATCTTCAACATGTTATAATTTGTTTTCATTGTTTATTTAAAATTTGTTCATCCGTTTTGAAATGATCGAATGTTTTGCTAAATTGATTCATATTGAATAAACTTGAATCGGAAGTCTTTAAATGAAACATAGAAACGAGATCATTAGTGATTTGTTGAATTGTCATTGCGTAAAATTTATGATGTATATTTAATAGTTCAATTTATGATTGTTGAAAATATGCACTTAATGAACTTAACTAATCTTTCTAGAATGAAACGTAACAAAATATCGTGAAATATAACTATATTAGTATCTAACTATATGTCTAATCAGGAAACAATTGGACTTTAGATTGACTATTGTTTAAGAACTAAAATTTGTTATTTTTCATTTGTTCATACACATAGAGAATGCTACATATCGGTAAAAATTCAGATGTAAATCCGGCCGAGATCAAGTTAAGATGCTTTGGGTCCAAATTTAAAAATAGGTGAACTCTCAACTAAAGCTCATTGGTTCAAAAATTTTCAGACTCATGTCCAAGACTAATGCGACTGGTTCTATTCTCGACTCATTACTTAATAGAATAGATTTAACATTTAATAATTGTATTCAGAAAAAGAATAGATTGATAAATTAGTTTGTACATCGATCATCAGCAATAGAATCATTGCTCTTCAGAAAATTTTACTCTCATTTATTGTATTATCAAAACAGTCTTTATCATATTAACAAAAATTAGAATAGTATGTTTTTTCTGTAGTTAATTTGCAATAATATATGAAAAATATTTACTTCATTAATTGAAATTAACATTGTATGTTGTTTTAATTCTTCTTTCTTTTTTAAAACTTCAAGTTTTCGTAATAATTCATTTCTTGTTGTATCAAATTCTTGCATTTCTTTCTTGAGATTCTTTTTTATTATTACGTAATGTATCACGTATGAATTCAATATTTGTTTTAGCAGGAAGATTAATTTGATAATTATTCATTAATATATCATATAATCGATCAAATTTTGAATAAAGAAAATCATATTGCAAATTTTTTTCATTAATTATTTCTAATTTATTTAATAAAACTTTAAATTTTTTTAATAAGCCTTAATAATTTCTTATGATTATTAATTGTTAGTATATATCACAAAAATGATATATGATATTTGACTTCTTAAGAACATGCTTACTACGAAAGTTTCTCAGTTAAGTAATTGCTGTTGAGTCTGAATTACGTGGATCATGTAGATGCAAATAAGCAATGAATACTCCACAAAACGTTCCAGATCTTAGCTTTTTATTGCAAAGATATTGGACTTTTATGATAGTTTTTAAATGAACGCCGTGGTTCACCTCTGAATAACTAGTTTTCATATTGCAACTTCAAACTTTGTACAGAGATCTTTCATAATAAACTACTATCATTAAAACGTATCTATGCACAAAGTTTCCAGTCGAAATTGGAAAATAAGTTTTTTCTAAAGGATGAGACACGATATGCATTTAAAAGATACCGTAAAAATGAATTATCTGCTTAGTAATAAGCTGAGATTTCGAACCTTTCTCAGGAGGAAAGAGGAGCAATGTTATAATTCTAAATCGACTGATCCTTCTTGAAGATAAAGTTGATCTATCTTTAATTGATTGTTGTTTAATTAATATGAAGATATTGAATGAGGTATTTTCGGAAAACTGAAAATGCCATAAGAGGTCACAGTAATGAAGGGTAATTGGAAATTGAATATCTCAAGAACGACAAGTCTTGCTCTTAGTAAAATTTTAATTAAAACAGCTATATCTCTCTTCATCAGTAGATCATAAGTCTGAATACTTTTAACCTTTCCTTCGTCTCATCAGAACTTACTCATAACCATAATATACAATGGAACAATGCTTGATAGTTAGATATATTCATGCGTTAGAATAACTCATATCCGTTTTCTGATGAAGTTCATATTGCATTTTTTCGATTTTATCATATAAATATTCGATATTTTTTTCACGTTCCATTTCTTCATTAAATCGTATATATAAAAATTGAAAATATTCAAATCGAATTCGTTCTGATTGTTTTAATTGATGAGATTTGTTTTGAATATTTTTTAATAATGTTTCAAATTTTTCTTCAATTATTGTTGCACGATTTTTAATAGCTAATCATTTATAAATTAAGAATATAATTTAATATAAGAACAAATAATACTAACCAGAAAGAATAATTGGTCGAAATTCATTGAGAAGTTGAGTATCTTGCATATGATTGGTAAGATTTTTAACTTGTTTAATTATTAATGAATCATTAAGTTGAATAGATATTTGAGTTAATTGTTGAATAAGATCATTTTCAAGTTTTTGAATTTCTAATGATCCAATTGTGTGAGTTTTTCGATTTCATTGCATTAAGAAGATTATTCATATTAGATTGTTCGCGTTTGTATTCAATTTGATCGATTGAAATATCATCATACTGTTTGTCTATGAAAAAAAAAAGAATTTGGTTAATATATTTTTTTTAAATAATTTATTTTACCTAAGATAGGCATAATGAGTTCGATGATTTTTTCTTCGATTTTTAATTTATCAAGTCGATTTTGTATATAAGCATTAATAAATTCATATTCATCGAATATTATTTTCAAATGATTCCAAATATGTAAATAATTCACGTTGTTTTCTATCAAATAAATATAATCTATTTGAAATTATATTCTCAATTGAATGTCGTATTTGAATTCCAATATCAGATAGTTGAATAGTAATCAGATATTGTTCAGATGTAAATAATATTTGTTCATTAGTTTTTTCATCGTATAGAAAAGTCAAAACATCATAATCGGAAATATTTAATGATGAATAAGTACGATCAAGTAGTTGAATTGATTTAGAAAGTAGTTGATCATTACTATAGACAACAAATAATGCTTGACTTAGAAAAAAATATCGATCAATTGTTATATTTCATATTATAATACAGTTGATTGGATGCGGAAGAATGTAAGAAGTAGCGCATAACAAATAGAATACTTTTCATGTTTTTTTTCTTAAAGACCTAAAGCATAATTGCATGAACATGAAAAACAACGGTGAGTCCTAAAAATTGGAGTTGAATCCGATCCTGTTTCGTGTCGATATGCCTCTATAAGATATTGTTGAAACCATCCAAAATATCTAAATGATATGTTTCAGATCGAATATGTAAAAAAATTCCTTTTTTTGTGATTCTAGACTTTTTCCCAATCAGGTACCCGTCTCTTAGTTTATAAATATTTGAATGATACTTTTTTGAAAATCTAATGTCGTCCCAATTTTATCAATTGACTTCTAATCAAAGTTTTGGATGAGCAAGGAATGCGTTACTTAAGATTTTCAAAAAAGTGTCATGAATAACAGCCTGTTGCTCCTGTTGTTCAGAAGTATTTATGGGTAGTTAGTGGAAATTTGTGTTTTCAAAATTTAGATTTTCTCTCGGAAAAGTTTATTGTGATCTTGTTATATACGGAATTCAATTTCAAATAAACTGATGTAACTTATTCATTGAGCAGTCAGAAGTTTTACTTCAAACATTGTAAAAAATACATTAAAAGATGCTGAATTTTATTACATATCTTAATTCTCAATAGATCTATCATTAATTAACAGTCTTTCAAGGATTACAGTTGAACGATTGAGTGATGATGAATCTTCTGAATTTTTATGCAACAAGAAGCATGAAAACAATAGTTTTGTCGAACAAAAATGATTTTCTATAATATCTGCTTAGAATGAGGACTTACTTGCTGGTAATTTGTCAAAGGAAATCGATTTTACATTAAGCCTCATAGATTTATTTATTGAATGATGTGATGATATTTCAATAATTTGAATAGTTTTTCGATTATCATCAACATATTCAAATTCAATCGATTTCAATGTTAATTGTTTAAAAGTAATTGGTTCAGATAATGATATTTCATTTTTATCATTTGAAATATGAAAACGATCTGATTCAAATGGTAATCTAATAAGATTAAGTTCATCTGAAATTGGCATATTATGTTCATCAACAAGACATTAAGATTGTTCTATTAAATTTCCTGAATAATCAACTGAAAGATATTTTAATTTAGCATTTAATAAAAAATTTAGATGATTAGAATGATAACGAGCAGTTGTAATATTTAATAAATTCTTTTGAATTTTATTTGACTCTTTATTTAACATATTATAAATATCTTCTAATTTATTAATAAATTCGATTTGTTGTTGATCAAATGCAACAAATTTGTCTATACTTAGTTTTATCGATTGTAGATTTTTTTCGTTTATTTTTAATAATTTGAAGACGATCATTCTATAAGTATTCGATTAGGTAATAAACCATCTCATATTAATAACATACAATATCTATTCTTAGTAAATCTTGTAATATTTTCTTTTCATGAATTATTGTTTGACAATTTTTCATATTCATAGCTATTGTTGATAAATTATTAAGAATCAATGTTATATCTTTATCAATTTGTAATTCAATCGGTGCCACAGATTGCAAAGATATTTTTATTATAACCGATGGTTTACTAGGAATAATATCTGTTAATGTTTACCATTAAGAATTTGCCCTATTAGTTGTAAATCTATATCAAGTGTTCGAAATATCGGTTGAATTTCAAAATATTCATGTTTTTGAATTTGATTTAAATAATTTTTGTATTTATAGAATTGACTATTTAAATTATGAAATATTTCTTGTTTTTCTGAATCGATATTTATTTCATTAGTTATTTGTTTATGTGTAGATTTAATTAGTTCTTGATGATATTTTTGATCGTTTAAAACATTTTCTATTTGATTAATTTGTTGTTGAAAAAAATTTTGTAATTTTGAAATATTTAAATGAGTAAGAAATGAAAATTTTTTCTGAAATAAGGGTTTGTTTTTGAAGGAAAAAAAATTAATTTACTAAGTTGAAGATTTATTTTTAATGAAATTTGCTCGATATCTGTCATTTGTTGCAATCTATTTAAAAAAAGAAAAATAAAAAGTGATTTTTTTTGTTGAAGAAGAATTTACAATTCAATAAGAAGCGCATTAAGATCTTCAATAATATTTGGCAGTACAGATGAAATCGATTTTTGCTGTAAACTTTCATCTGTGAGTAGAAAAGATTCAGTTGACTTTTCTAAAGTTAATATTTAAATTTTATGATGTATGAAGTTTATGTTCGGCTGATGGTTTACCGTTTTTATTGATGATATCATCTTGAATTGTAGATGATTCTAAAAAGTGATTTAAAAATTTCGATTCGTCTCACTAAATTGATATTATCCATGGCAAGGTTATATACAGTTAATTGATTGAAATATATCATTATATAGAGAAAGATTCGAGATATCATCTGAAGAAAAAAGATACTTTGAAATGCAGAAATGTAACTTGCAACAGATTTTTACAGAGAGCATCTTCTTAGTTCAATGATATTCATCAAATTCAAAGGCGGTGGATATAATTTTAAAAACTATTCATATTGCTGAAGTTTTTCAAATTGGGAGTCTTATTTTATGAAATTTACGGTTTAGAATGTGTCTACTAATATATCAGCAACTTAGCCATGCAGGATCTATCTGTCTGCGCGAACGGCCGTTGAGAAAAATTTTTCATTGTGACTATTTAAATGAAGTTCTTATTCAGAGTAAATCATGTCCTAAAAAGTTCAAGACAAAGAGTTTGACTTGAAATTTGTCTTGAGACACGTTTCATAGTCATGAGGTAATCTTGAAAGTTTCAACAGGCATGAACATGACTTTCTCAAGATATTCAATATCCAAAAAAAAAGAAAGCAGAAGTTTACAATATGAGAACAAAGTAATCGAGTTTACTTGGGAATAGAATATCTTGAAAAAGACATGATCGTTTTTGTTGAAGGTTTCAAAACTGTCCAATGATTATGAAAAGTATCTATAGACAATATTTCAAATTCAAATTTTATTGAAAAACTTTTTCTCAAAAAATATAGAACGAAAATATTAGCTTCAAATTATTAAAATGATCATAAGATTGTATTACATTTATACATTTTAAAGTATTCTATTTTTAGATGATAGTTTTAATCTTCCTCTACAAAATTACATATTTCAATAAATTAATTATCTATAGCTTTGTCATAGATATCATCGATTTACTAATAAGATCCGAAACTTTTAAATAACCTATGATTCTTGTTTTGTCTTCTTCCGATGTTTGAGGTGATAAACGTTTTTCACAAGATGATTGTTCAATTATTTGTTGTATTTCTTCCGAATTTTTCATTGATTGATCATGAATATAAAGTTTGTCTGTTTCACTAGATTCATATCCGATTTACTAAATTCTTTTTCTATTATATCAGAATATTTATTTATTTGTTGTTTAACATTTTCTCGTTGATCTTGTTTGTTATAATCTTCAATACTTTGTTCTTCCGCAAAATCTAATTCCATAAATAATCGTTTTTGATTATCAGACAAATAAGGTAGAAAAAGTTGAGGTCCAAGTATTGAAGCATATGGATAGAATTGTTCAATAACATGTGTTTGATCATTTTTTATTTCTTGTTGTTTATGAAAATCATTTAGATTAATTAATAATTGAAGAGAATCTTCATCAATAGATATTTTTCAATTTTGAAGAATCAATTTGAGTTTTTCACTAAAATATTTATATAAAAAATAATTCTGAAAAGACATAAGAGAACATAATTCGTTTCTTTTTTACAGATAATCTTGTTTATGTTGTTCACTGATGTTTGATTGTAATTCTTTAGCTTCGAATAATTCATTATATGCATCTAAATCAAAAGCTTCATCTATTGCCGAATGAAATTTATGTTGATTTTGATCTTCTTGTTCTTGTTCTTCATGAATTATTTCTGAAACTCTTCGATCTATTTCATTTGTTTGTGATAATCAATATCTTTTATACCATATATCACATAAAAATTTCATATCATAATTATTAAAATCGACTAGAAATAGAAGTTTTTTTTTTTTTTTATTAAATACATTAATCCTATTTATTATATTTACATTCTAATTTTAATGCTTTGAGTGCATTGAATGTATTTATTGGATGTAAATGTATATAGTTTTTAATTATTGTCATCATATCAATGATACGTTTGAGACGATCAAGTTTAAGAACATTATTAAGTAATTGAGAAAGATCAGTTGCTGTTATACATAATTTTTTTTTTCTAAATTATTTTGTACATGATGTTTTTTTACTAAGGCATTTTCTTGTGATTTAGAAATTTCCATAAATTTATTTACCTAAATAAGAAATGATTATAAGATATGCAACCATAGAGCTCATTCGATACATCTCACCAGCATCTACAAAACGGAACAATGGTTTTTATAATATAGCATTCTCTCCAAACTCTTCAGTAGAACTAAATCAAAAATCTGATTGTACAGGCTTGTAGATATTGATGTGATGTATCTAATGATAAGCTTTATTGTCAATAGGAATTTCTCAAAGTTGGAATCAGAACAAACCTACCGTGATTGAGATATGAGCTTTGGTATGATAATGGCATATTTTTGAAATAGTCCCAAATAGTTGTTGCTTTAAAATGTGAATAACTGAACCAGGAAGCGTTCACTCCAGCTCAAATATTAAAGAATTTCTAGTAATTATATGATATGTCTATGAAGAAAACATTAGCTTGAAATTTCACTTATTCAGGTTCTTAGTGATCCTTTACTCGTAGTTCAACCACTATCCAATGGCGATAGTTTCAAACAATAGAAGCAGTTTGATAGTTGGATATGTACTCGCGTGATATTTACTTGAGTTATACCATATTCTCTTTTGGCAATTACAAGATAAATGATATCTGATTAATATGACATACTCATAATTAATAACTAATAGAGTAAAATTATTCAATATTTTACTGAAAACTAAATATAGCAAATGAGCATATTTATATTCACAGTAAGACAGAATATTGTTTTGGCATAAGATTTAATTTCATTAGGTTTAACTAATTTACTAACAATTAATAAATCCATAAGATCTTCTAATGCTATCATACCATAACGAATAAATAATAATTGAAAATCTGTATGAAATAAAATTTGATGTTGTTGAAAATGTTTCTTTCATGGTTTTCCAGAAATTGAATCATTTTCTTTAATTAATAATGATATATTATATGTTATATGTCGTATAAGATCTAATGAATTATTAGAATCAATTATATTAAGTTCATGTTTAAATTCAGGATAAATATCATTATTCCAATCGTCTTGTTCAACTAATAAATGTAATTGATTTCGTGGTATTTTAGTTTGTATATAATTATGACGTAATGAACGTAAATTTAGTAATAATTCATTGTTTATATTTTTATCGATGATTAATAATCCTTGATTAGTTTCTATTAGAAATTTATGTTGTTTAACAAAACTATTATATGTTAAACGAGATAATATTTGTGTTGGTTTAGAAAATAATTCTATATTTTCATCCATTTTTAAAAGAGCATTATCAACTTTTCGTTGTACTTTTTTCTTTTACTATTTTAGTATTTTTTCTTTGATCAGTTAATATATTTGTTTGAATAACTTGACATTGACGCATATTTTGATTAAGTGCTAATTCAAATTGTATATTAGTTAATTGTTTACGATCAAGTATATTAATTAAAAATTGTTTTTGAATGACAGTTTTATATTCACTTGATTGATTTTTAAGTATATCTTTATTAAGATACTAAATTAAAATCAACGATAAACATGTTTTTTTTTTTCAATTTATGTAATAGAAAATTATTTACATATTGTAGAAAAAAAATCTTTAGCTGATTGAATTATTTGTTCATTAGTAAGAAACTCATGACGTAGAATATGTTAATAAATAATATTAAATTTTTCATTTTCAATATTTGTTTGATATTAATTTCATCAATATAAAATTCTTTTTCAATTAATTTAATCATCATATAAATAAGAAATATAGCTTGAGCTTCAGGTGTAGTTATATTAGGAAGAGATTGTGAAATAATTTTTAAACGACGTAATTCATTGACTATATCTCTGAATAGATTAATTTCTTCATTGTAATATTAATTGAAAATTGTTATTAGCGCAATCCTTTAGAGATTAAATCGAGAAACATGATGTAGTTTTCTTTTGCTAATCAAAGTAAGTTCATATATTATAATGAAACATTTGAAGTCCTTTTCTCGATGGTAGTAACTTGCAAGACTCTAAAAATTCATTTGTGTAACTATGTTTTATAAAATAAAAGGAAGCTAACTCATAATCGACATGGTATTGGATATGATTCAAGATATCTATTCAGATCATCAATTGTTAATGATGCTTATTGTTTACGTATGTTTAACAATAATTTAATAATTATCAATTCTTTTTCAATTAATAATTGAGCTTTATAAACAGCCAAAGGTTTAAATCCATTAAATAATTTTCTTAATTGTTCATTGAGAATAGAATCAAATATAGTTATTATGATTGTTTGTTTTATTTTACGTCGAAGAACAGAATCATGAGTATACATTGACATATTTCGAGTATAACAATCAAGTATGGATTGAAGTGTAAGACTAGTTTCTCGTAAATCTAATCTTGTCACTAAAACAAATGGACAATCTCAAATTAGTGCTAATTTTCAAATCTACGTTTAAAAAATCAGAAATTGAGTATATTGAAAGTCTAGATTAGAGCCCATCAAATTGGTCCCGAAAACCGATCTGGGTTCAAACGTTTTGAAATCGACCTCCTCTAAAAGGCATAAGGTTGCGGACAATGAGAATTGTACGACAGGAGGAACAAAAGAAGAATCACTGTGATCGTTCTTGTAAAAAGACTAGTATTACTAAAATAACATTTTTCATTTGTGATATTTCTCATAGGTTTCTCTTCGTTAAAAATCAACAGTTAAATCTTTAGTAAAAACTAGTTATAAGTTTAAGTTTACCTCTGCTAATATTTACTTCTTCACTTTTACGATCATCGATGTGAAGCTAGCACGACGACCAATCAAAATCGACTCTTCCATTGACCAATCCCGACCGATCCATGTTTTACCATACACTATCCACAAAATACCAACATGAAACTTCTTAGCAACCCACTATAAAACCTTAAAAAATCAACAATATTCACCCCGCCCCTTCACCACTACTCATACCAAAATAATAAAACCAACAAAAACACCTCCCAACCAACCCCGGGCTCCTGCCTCACCCATCAAATGAGCTCATTACCGATATTCAAATAGCTCCTGTGGGCTTATCTTCCATTGCCAAAAGAGGATGAGTACACCAATGAATAGAGAATTTAATTCTCTAGAACATGATGTATACATTATCGTGATAAAGCATTTCGACCGCTGTCATAAATCGAAACACAGATCCGACTCACAAGTCTCATATCGACAGCTCACGTATTCATATCAATTGTAGTCAACTCCATATCCATTGCCAACAGAGACTGAACACATCACTGAATAGAGAATTTAATTCTCTACAAGATGACGTATTCACTATAGAGCGAATCAATTTTCAAACCCGTTATGAGTCCCAAAAAAAGATCGGACTCACAAGTCTCATATAGTCAGCTCAAGTATTCATATCGATCGTAGTGAACTCAATACCCATTGCCAAGAGAGAATCAATACATCATTGAATAGAGAATTCAATTCTCTACAAGATGATGTATTCACTAAAGCGACAATCAATTTTGAAAAACACTTCGAGTCCCAAAAAAAACGGACTCACACGTTTCATATGGTCAGCTCACATATTCATATCGATTGTAGTGAACTCAATATCCGCTCCCAAGAGAGAATGAATATATCATTGAATAGAGAATTTAATTTTCTACAAGATGATGTATTCAGTATAGCGACAATCAATTTCGAACAAAGTTTCGAGTCCCAAAAAAAGATTGGGCTGACACGTCTCATATGGTCAGCTCACGTATTCATATCAATTGTACTCAACTCAATATCCATTGCCAAGAGAGAATGAATATATCATTGAATAGAGAATTTCATTCTCTACCAGATGATGTATTCAGTATAGCGACAATCAATTTCAAAAAGGGTTTCGAGTCCCAAAAAAAGATCGGACTGACACGTCTCATATGGTCAGCTCACGTATTCACATCGATTGTAGTGAACTCAATATCCATTGCCAAGAGAGAATGAATATATCATTGATTAGAGAATTTAATTCTCTACAAGATGATGTATTCTCTATAGAGAGAATCAATTTTGAAAAGGGTATTGAGTCCCAAAAAAAGGTCGCACTCACACGTCTCATATGGGGTATTAACCTATTCAGATTCATTCAAGTGAACTGAACTTCCATTGCCAAGAGAGGATGAATACATCATCGAATAGAGAATTTAATTCTCTACAAGATGACATATTCACTATAGAGAGAATCAATTTTGAAAAGCGTTTCGAGTCCCAAAAAAACAAAAGACTCACACGTCTCATATGGTCAGCTCACGTATTCATATCGATTGTAGTGAACTCAATATCCATTCCCAAGACAGAATGAATATATCATTGAATAGAGAATTTAATTTTCTACAAGATGATGTATTCAGAATATAGAGAATCAATTTCGAAAAGGGTTTCGAGTTCCAAAAAAAAAAAGGAGTCACAAGTCTCATATGGTCAGCTCACGTACTCATATCAATTGTAGTCAACTCCATATCCATTGCCAAGAGAGAATGAATACATCCCTAAGTAGAGAATTGAAGTCTCTACAAGATGATGTATTCTCTATAGAGAGAATCAATTTTCAAAAGTGTTTTGAGTTCCAAAAAACGATCGCACTCACAGGTCTAATATGGGGAGTTAACATACTCAGATCCATTCCAGTCAACTGAACTTCCATTGCCAAGAGAGAATGAATACATCATTGAATAGAGAATTTAATTCTCTATCGAATGATATATTCATTCTCTCTTGGCAATGGAAATTCAGTTCCGCATAATCCATCCGAATATGTGAACTGACCAAATCACACATATGAGTCGAAATGTTTTTTTTCGACTTATGTCCCTATTTCAAATCGATTCTCTCTATAGTGAATACATCTACTTGTAGAGAATTTAACTCTCTATCGAATGATATATTCATTTTCTTTTGGCAATGGAAATTCAGTTGAGCATAATCCATCCGAATATGTCAACTGAGCAAATCACACATATGAGTCGGATCTTTTTTTTCGACTTATGTCCCTACTTGAAATCGATTCGCTCTATAGTGAATACATCTACTTGTGGAGAATTTAATTCTCTATCGAATGATATATTCATTCTGTCTTGGCAATGGAAATTCAGTTCAGCATAGTCTATCCGAATATGCGAACTGACCATATCACACATATGAGTCGGAATGTTTTTTTTCGACTTATGTCCCAATTGGAAATCGATTCTCTCTATAGTAAATACATCTACTTGTAGAGACTGTAATTCTCTATCGAGTGATATGTTCATTCTCTCTTGGCGATGGAAATTGACTTGAGCATAATCCATCCAAATATGTGAACTGACTATGTCACACATATGAGTCGGATCTTTTTTTTCCCCTTATGGCCCTATTTGAAATCGATTCTCTCTATAGTGAATACATCTAGTTGTAGAGAATTTAACTCTCTATCGAATGATATATTCATTTTCTCTTGGCAATGGAAATTCAGTTGAGCATAATCCATCCGAATATATGTACTGACCAAATCACACATATGAGTCGGATCTTTTTTTTCGACTTATGTCCCTATTTGAAATCGATTCGCTCTATAGTAAATACATCTACTTGTGGAGAATTTAATTGTCTGTCGAATGATATATTCATTTTCTCTTGGCAATGGAAATTCAGTTCAGCATAATCCATCCAAATATGTGACCTGACCATATAACACATATGCGTCAGATCTGTTTTTTCCACTTATGGCCTTATTTGAAATCGATTCTGTCTATAGTGAATATATCCACTTGTAGAGAATTTAATTCTCTATCGAATGATATATTCATTCTCTTTTGGCAATGGAAATTCACTTGAGCATAATCCATCCAAATATGTGAACTGACTATATCACACATATGAGTCGGATCTTTTTTTTCCATTTATGGCCCTATTTGAAATCGACTCTGTCTATAGCGAATACATCTAGTTGGAGAGAATTTAATTCTCTATCGAATGATATATTCATTCTCTCTTGGCAATGGAAATTCCGTTTAGCATAATCCATCCAAATATGTGAACTGACCATATGACACATATGAGTCAGACCTTTTTTTTGGTCTTATGGTCCTATTTGAAATCGATTCTCGCTACAATGAATACATCTACTTGTAGAAAATTTAATTCTCTATCGAATGATATATTCATTCTCTCTTGACAATGGAAATTCAGTCCAGCATAATCCATCCGAATATGTGGACTGACCATATCACCCATATCAGTCGGATCTTTTTTTCCACTTATGGCTCTATTTGAAATCGATTCTCTCTATAGTGAATACATCTACTTGTAGAGAATTTGATTCTCTATCGAATGATATATTCATTCTCTCTTGGCAATGGAAATTCAGTTCAGCATAATCCATTGGAATATATGTACTGACCATATCACCCATATGAGTCGGATCATTTTTTTCGACTTATGTCCCTATTTGAAATCGATTCTCTCTATAGTGAATACATCAACTTGTAGAGAATTCAATTCTCTATCGAATGGTATGTTGATTCTTTTTTTGCAATGGATATTAACTAGACTAGAGCCCATTGCATTGTCGCAAATCATTCCATCAGAGTGGGGGTCGGATGTTTTTTTCCTTTTTGACCGCCCGTTCAAAATCGATTCTCGCTGGGAGGGATATAGCATGTTGTAGAGAATTAAATTCTCTACAAGATGATATGTAGGTCATGTCGGGACAATGGTCGGTCTGGTGTACAAATTGATTTTTTTGTCAAAATTGTGTGTTTTTTTTTCGTCGTGCTAGCTTCACACTGATTTTTGTTGCTAAGGCCGCCATGGGCAGATTGTTGTCCTTCACCGTGATGATTTTTGTTTTTGAATTTTATGATTGGTGATCCATTGAAGGAATAGACTTTTTTCTCTCGTCGTGGTAATTCGTCGTGTTGTGCTAGCTTCTCATCGATTTTACGATCAGCCTCTTGTTCATTGATATTCAAAATTAAAGATTTCTTATTAGATTCTTCTTTTATATTTTCTACACTCATATCAATTGATGATCCTTGTTGATGATAGTACGTAGTCTGACGGCAAAAAGTAATGGGGAAACACCAATCAATGTCGAATGCACTATGTGTGGCGACACCTAGGATGAAACTCATTTTTGGAAGCTCTTATTAATAGCATATGAAGTACATCACTAATAAAGATTATTTATGAAGTCAAACTCTTCTGACCCAGTATAATCATGGAACTAAACCAAAATAAAAGCACTGATTTACTGACATCTTTCGCGTCGATTCATTCTCACACAAAATTGATAATACTATAATTGAATCCCGCATGTAGTGTAGCGCCATCATCTAGGTGAAACTCACTTTTCCTGAAAACAAAATATGCAGGTAAATATACCTGTTGTTTCTATACGTTTTTATCAAATTTGTTTTTTCTGACCCTTCAGTTTGGACTAAGTGCATTAGTGGATATCGATTTCTACATTGATTGGATGACTCATGTATATATGTCCACAGACTATGATGCGATTGATCATTTGTATCTAATATTTGTTCATAAGCACAAATTTTAAGAACTTCTTCTGTTGATAAATAATAATTTGTATTGGATAATAAAATTTCATTGACTTTCTCAAAACATTCTTTATTTGAAATAATTCTTATAATAATTGTTGTTAAAAATATAGAATTATTTTCAATAATTGGATCGAGAATATGTAAATGATTAGGTGACACTAAGAAAACAAAAAAGAAATTTTTGTTTGTGTTATGTAAGAGAAGGTCTTTTCTTCTACAATATGCTCTCAAATTTGATCAGACTGTAGAGAGTACCTCGCAGCGGTTTGACAGTGGAATGCAGTATAGTATGAAAAATACGGACTTCATGAAACGTTAAATTATCCGCATTAACATCATTAGTTTTCAATGAAATTTTCTATGTACAAATGCCTACTTTCCAAGTATTTTGTTTCTAAATTACAGGACAGTGGGACATTGTATTGAAGAATTATAAAAACAAGATTAATCAGTGTCTAAATTTTAGAAGTAAAATTTGTTTTTTCTTACCTCTAACTTCAAGAAAACGTCATTTCTTCGAAAAGAAAAGTATGTTACCTTATAAAGGTAAACTTACTCAATAATTTTTTAAGCAGAAAAAATCGATTTTTGCAAATCTCATGATTTCTGTTATATGTGACCCAATCTGAAAGAGATTGTCATATTCAGACACTTGAAGATACTGTACAAATTGGTTGATTTCGAGAGCATGTTGTAGGGGATGGAAAAACATCCTTCTTCTTAAAATACTTGGTAATATATATATATCATAACTAACTGTTAGAAATAATATGAGTAAAATATGCTATACCTAAGTCTGAAATTATTTCTAGAAATTTTTCAATTAATATGGATGAAAGAAGAAGTTTTTATAAATTTTCAATGCGTTTAAAACGTTTTTATCGATAATTAATACGTTGATGAAATGAATCAAGCAGAGTTTTACATTCAATTCTACAAAAAAAAAATATTTGATTTTCTAATTAAGGGAAAAAAAAACTTTTTTAAATCTATAGTGATTTATACTTGTTGTTTTGAAAGAATAATTGTAGAAAATTCTTCAAAATTAATTTCATTATTCATTGATTTTAATAAAGTTTTAAAACGTTCTTGTGAAATAATATCATGTATTGTAATTAAAAATGAAAGTTCATGTTCATATTCTGGATCAGCATAATCAATAAGAATTAAAGCTTGTTTATAAGTTAAATAATAACCAAGTTTACAATAATTTTCATTAATAATTTTATGAATATTATCATTATTCTTTCGTTTTTTAATTGTTAGATATTGGTTTTGTTGATCAGAATATTTTAAATTTTCCATAGATACATAATGGATACATGATTCTATTATGCGAAAAAACAAATTGTTTATTTACTTTCTTTTCATGGTTTTCTAAGAGACTTTGGAAATTGTATATTTCTACAATGTATTAGAATTAGCTCTTAATCAAGGAAAACTGCTAATGATATTAAACGAAAGCTTGTCGAAATTGAGATTTAACATTACTCAACAGTTTATAGAATAACGATGAACTACAGCACGAGCGAAAGTTCTATAATTTTCAGGTATATTATTAGAGCCTATCTTTAGTCAAACATCGAGTTCTCTTTGTTGATCATTATGATAAACACGCTTTTTCAATTCCATAAATGCCGATGTTACGAGTTTTCTATCTCATTGATTTTATTTGTTTTTTAATAGCTATAGATAAAGTATTATTATAACGTTCTGAGAATTTCTTGAGTATCGTTTTTTTTTGTTTAAATATTTGTTTTCTAACCTAATGTATCATGAAGTCGCATTAGAAAATTATTGTAGATTCCATCAAGTATCTATTCATTAACAAAAGTTTTTGTTTCAATTAATGTTTTAACTGTATTTTCATTTTTATGTATTTATTATTATGAATATTCAAATATTTACCATGAATACATAGTGATGATAATCTTTTTTGTTGATTCAATAAGATTTTTGTAATAAAATTTCGACATTCATCATTATTTAATATAGAATTAATATAAATTTCATTGATTATCATTGTACGTTTTGTTAAATATTCAATTAAATCATCTTCACGCATAACTAAAGTAAATCAGCATTACGTTTTTGAAAAAATGATATAGATTCAAAATGTTTTAATAAAGATGATTTTTTAATAATAATATCTTGTTTAGATAAAACAAGAAGTTCAATTGTTGATATAAGATCTGATGTTATTAAATCATCAAATATATCAATAATTAATATAAAACATGGAATTTTATTAAATTCATTAAGAAATGATATAAGTATTGTACCATTGAAATGTTCAGGAATCATTTTAAGTATAACACGTGTTATACAACTATATAAATTTAAATGATTTTGAATTTTTTTTTTACAAATCTTTTTTTAAAATTTTATTTAAATAGAAAAAATAATTAAAAAAGTTTGTTTATTTACTTTATTTAATCGTTGATCAATATCTTCTCTTGCATGAAAATCAATATAGAATTGATCTAATGTTTCTGATATAATTGTATTCTCCGAAATTAATGCATCAAAATTTTCCGGTAATAACCATATAAGTAAGGTTTTCTAAGAGCTGCCATTACTTCAGTAGTAGACACTATTTTAAATTAACAAGAAAATAGATTATAAAACATAATTGATATATGATAACTTACAGGACCTAATTTTTGGCCTACAAACGTGAGTATGAGTTCTGGTTTTCTCTTCATCTACACTCAGTCATGCCATGGAAATATCACTTTTTTAAATACGTATCTAGTTTCGATATTCTTCTCTTTCGACTTTTCTACAATCAGCTCTACTGTCGATCAAAGTCTGTAGAGAGAGAGATCTAAATTTCTAACTTGTATACTTTAGCAATTCTTTTGAGATCATGTTTCACAGAAAGGTCTTTATAATTGGTCGAACAAATCGAAGTCGTCATACTCATTCTACAATTTATTAAGGGTGTGGGTGTGGGGTGTGAGTGTGGGATGTAGCTGTCGCGGTGACTATGGCTATGGCTATGGTATGTGGGTGTGTGAGTTGAATGAAAGTAAGATGCATAACTGCACCCACACCCACGCCCACACACCCAGACCCACACACACCACCCACACCCACATCCGCCATTTTTATCATCCGGCAATGGGTTGCAGAAGAGCTTCATCGATCGACACGATTTGTTTCTCAGTGGTGAGAAAACTCGTATGACGAATGTTTTGCAGATTATTGAGCGTGTGGTCGTCATCTTAAGTTATCGAAAGAGAGTCAAAACATCATTCTCAATGCAAGTGGCAAACAAGGCGAAAGTTCCTCTGTCGTGGCAAGAGAGATCGCCGAGAGACAGAAAGAGTATGTTGTTTGAAGGACAGTCGATCATTATCGACACAGAACTGGATTGACGCCTTTTCATATTCTTCAAAAGCCATTGAAAACGGAAACTCATATTTCTGATCGTCTGTGGTTCTGCGATTGGTTAAAGGACGAAACTGAGGAATATTTTTTGCATCTCGCACCCGCCGATGAGTTTTTTGTTTGGTCTGTACGTAAACTAAATCATCAGAATGACAGAAGTTGGGTCAAATGTGTGGAAGATATTGAAGAGGATCAAAGATATCGTAAGATAGTAAAAAATCAAGCATGCATTGGTATTTTTGTCATATTTACCGTCAAAAAAATGCTTTGGGTGGTGAAAGATAAAGGTGAATCCCGGACTGGTCAATATTTTCGTGACATAATTTTAGTTCAACACGTGTTTCATTCCTCAAAAACGAAGAAAATGTGATTGACGTAGATGAAGTCATATTGGTTCATGAAAAAGCCTCGTGTATAAAAGCAAATATGACTCAACAGTTGATTCACATCAACAATATCAATTTTTGGGGTAACAACATTTTGCCCGAAAATTCACCCGATCTCAATATAGCTGAACATATTGGAACAATAATCAAAGATGAAGTTGAGAAAAAAAATGTTATCAGAGATTGGAAGCGATCGGTATCGTGAAGAAACGTTGAAAATTATCGAAACAAATACAGAGCTGTTCGAAAATGTTTTATGTTCATACCCATCAAGACTGCGCGCCGTGAAAAAAGTAATGGTCGTCATGCCAATTATTGATAATGCGCATGAAGTTTAGACAAAATAAACATTAGGCTGATATATTCGTTATTTTAAAATCATTTGCATTTCAAATGATATATTCTGTAGTAAAGTTGTGCCAGGCGTGAACTTTGTCAAAGTACAAGAACTTCAATAGTTCTATAGTCTGCATCATCTATTGGTTTACCAGCTATGCCTATTAATCCCATTTTTGACGAGCTTTGAATTTGGTATCAAATTTAATGTTCATATCATTTGTAGCTGAAGCTGTACTCCAGGGCAAAACATTTTTGCCAACCTAGTAGTACATAAACAATGCTAGGTGTGCGTATCGTGCAGAAGCACCGATTTTATTTCCAATTGTGTCTTCATCGGTCATACATGTTTGACTATTTCACACTTTCCTTCAGATATTCCAAGTGTACTGATACATTCTATCGATAAAGAATGAAATTCTTACTGTTTTAATATTGAATTTACAATGCTACTTCAGTACTTTATTCATCATCGCTAGTACTTGCATATCTCACTAATTTACTTGTCCAAGTGATTTCTTCCAAAAACTTATCCATATAATCCTCGAACAATAGATATGTTGGTATCAATCATAAATTGGAATTCTCTGCTTCTGTGAGCAGTATTCTTCATCTTTTCGAAAGCCTTATTATCTCGATAACTTGGTTTGCTGCATTTATTTGAAAATTTCACATCAATTTATCTACGGCTTTCATCTTTGCATATTACTCGAGACGATTAGTTCATCTATATTCTCTCCACATATTGACCATGATTTCGGCAATTTGGGGTCGTATTCCAGCTATTAGACTACAAATGGCACAAAAAACTGTCGTTGAACATCCAGAAGTTTACTGTGCTGTTGCGCCATGTGCTATACCGGCGACTTACGTAGCAGTCAGTGCATTAGGTTTTACCGTTGGGGGCATAACTAGTGGGAATGTGGCGACTGGAATGATGAGCACAGCTGCCATTGCTAATGGAGGTGGTGTGGCAGTGGGAAGTGTCGTATCCTTATTGCAAAGTATTGGTGTTTTGGGTGTTACGAATCTAGGACTTTTACCAGCGGTTTGAATTTGTGCTATGGGAGCCTGTGCTACAGCAGGGTGTTATTTTGGAGTGGGGGGGAAATCTTATATAATTGTATTAAGCAGCTGAAATCGAAAATATAAGTGGAAAGGCTAGTGTATTTCATAGCTGTCTTAAGCTTAGTGACTGTATTCGACTTTATCTGTTGTGTTACATTTTCACCTTTCGCTTCTTTCCTCAAGAACAGTCACTCAAAGATACTCTTGCATATCTATTTTCAGCAGTGTACAAAATTATATCCCTATTTCAAAAAAAAATAAAAAATATTAACCCATATACTAATAGATAGGTGAAAAGTTTTCGTTCTGTATGAGCAATCAAAATATGAAATTATCAAAAATTTAAGTTAATCAGCGTATTACATGATAAAGGCTTACTCTTTGTGAAATTTAGAACGATTTCTATTAGTTTTCGATCAACCAATGGGATTTCGAAGCGAATGATGCTTAGATTATGATTTACCAGGTTCAATTACACATGAGCGCACAATTTTATAGAGAAAATTTAATTTTCCAAAAAACGAGTCTTTTAAAGAAAGTGATTAAAACCACGTCACCAATCTCGTGGATAAATCTAATTGGTAGTTCGTCTAAATCTTGCACAACACCAAGAAAGGTAGAGGCTATACATGAAATGAAGTATAATGGCATGCTTTTCATTATCTTTCTTTCTTCCTTTTTTATGTTCTTTCGTAACCATGACGCATGATTGCACTAACCTTCTTCACTCTATATATAGAGCGAAAGCTTGTTGACGCTTCTATACTACTAATACAAAAAAAATGAATACAACCACGTTGTCGTCTTTCGGACACATTATTGAATTTAATCGGGAAACTGGTGTTGGTTTAATTCAAGAAGATACAACACAACGCGTTTTACCGGTTCACTACAACAATTTCAAGAAGCGCTCAAAGAGATATTTAACTGAAGATAAGAAATTTATGGGCGAACTGTTTGATTTTGACTTGGTTGTTAAACAAAAGAGTGATGATAATGGCAGTGATACATGGGAAATCGTCAGTGTTAGACATCGTGTATTGAAATGTAATGTTGAAGGATGTTCACGAATTAAGGCATTTACAAATGTGAAAGCACTAGAAGATCATATAAATATTAGACACACTTTAAAGAAGAAACAAGAAGAAATAACTTCCCCCTCCTTGTCAACGTCAGTTAAAAAGTCAAAGAAACAACGGCGTTCCCGTCCTAAACCTATCATAATTAAACTCTCATCTTCTACAGCAGCAGCTACTGTTGGTCGATTCATTGGCAAACAGGGTGTTAATCTCAAACGGTTAGAACAACTCTTTCAAGTCAAACTTCAACTGCTCGATAGTCGAAAAGTGTTTCAATCTGTCCAAATTCTCATCAAGCCAAATACCGGTGTTACTATTAATGTTGAACTAATTAGTAAAAAATTAAAATCTGACTGGGCACGCTGTGTTCGGGAACAGGAAGAATCTGAAAAAACTTATCAGCAACAATTGCGATCATTGAAATACTCATTTACAGCACAACCAATGCCTGAATTTGAGAGTGATCCAAGATATAGAGACGATTTGAAATTTCGTCTCAGACGATTAAAGCGAGAAGAATATCTAGGAAAAAGGAGATGTCGTCAAACGGAATCTTCAGTAAGAGTTCAGGAACGACATTCCAGTCTCAACCAAGAAGGACATCGTTCAGCGGCCACATGTGCCACTGAATTGAGACAGAAATCAATTTTTAATTATTATCAACCGAAGAAAACCAAAAACAATGCAAAAGAACAATATTGGCTGGTCGATGAAGATCTACTACATCTAGAACAACCGTTTGTTGCATCTTAAGAAGCAAATTCCATTTTTTTTTGTATTTTTTGATTGTATATTATATAGCAAGAGCACCTTATTTAAAAAGCATTCTCTTTGATATTATATGCATAAGTTTTAAAAGGATAAGCGTAGTTGACGAGGGGATTAGCATAGGACTAACAGATTCGTATGAATGTAAGGAATCGTAGACGGAATGATGAGCGGCGATGTTGCTAATTATCATTCTAGCACTACAGATTCATCTCCTAGGCTATTTCATTATGTTGATATGAGGAAACAGTTGATAGTTACATCATGCTCAAAAAATTCAGTCAAATCATTGTTGATCGCGTCATCAAGCCTAGACTCTTAGGCTACGATGAAATCGGTTTATGGGAATAAGTTCACTATCGGTTTCATATTTGACTTGCAAATTGAACGAATTTCGAAGAATTTCAATGGACGTGTCGATGATTTTGTTGGATTTGAAAAAGAAATTATTAAGAAACGGATAAGAAATAAAGATAGTCATCAACGAAAAGCAATGACGAAAATTAATTTCCATAACCAATCGGAATTGATCGAAAACGAAGATCTTTGTTGCAGTTTTCTCATATTGGTCGTGAACAGATTTGGTCAAATCAATTTGAATGTGTTGTTTGTTATTATAATGATTTCAATATATTCCAATGATTGATTCAAATTCAGATAACCTTATTTTCAAAAAATAAAGAGAAAACATAATCGATGTCTAGATAAGCGTAGTTCCACAGGAAATCTCCCACTTTATACAGAAGTATTTACAGCCAAGCTGAAATTCTCAGCAATTGAAGCTCTCACTATTCTAAGATCTTTGATAAAAAAACTCCTACGGACTTTTGCGCGCCATCATGGTTTTTTTGGAACCACAAAATACCATCTTTTTGTTTCAAATGATTTTTTCATCATTTTGTGATCCCAATTTTTTTTGATAAGTACAGACGATAATTGGAATGTTATATATCGGTGTATAGTACTAAGATGGTAGCTTTTGTACAACGTTATATCAGATCATTCATATCACTCATATATGGATTGGCCCGATACGACATTATGATAAAACTGAGAAAATAGCTAAAATAGCCTATTTTCAGATATACTGTTCCACATCATAATACAATGATTAGACATTAGTTTTATTCGTGCCAGATACATATATCTAGTGTCTATCTAAAGATATAAGAATCATTTCTTCAAAGTCTTTCTATCGACAAATAGGACTACACACTCGGTTACCCTATAGTGCCTCATAGTGAAAATGTCACACATTGTGGTCAACATTTGTCAAGAAAGCAGAATTTGGGAGGATATCGGATAATAGTGTGGTGAAGTACTAGCCCTAGTCTATTAGCTAGTATAGCTAGTTCATTCCGCTACTTTGAATTTCTTGAAATACGATAAGGTGAAAAAGTCGATTTTTCACGTAGGGCATCCCTTCGGATCCCAGATATGTATACAAAAATGATCACTGATTTTCATGAAATTCTCAGCGTTTCTAGAGCTTTTAATTCTGAGCATTTTGGTAAAACAAGTTTTTCAAAACACTTTTGTTTTGATGGAGATAGACTCAAAATCCTTTAACCAGTAAAAAGCGAGACTCCCTCAAAAATCGATTTTGTTTTGTACAATTTTGGGAAATAGTTTTTGATAGTTTACATCACTAAAACAAGGTCAAAAACAAGATTCAAGACCATATTCGAACTCCTAGTGAGAAGACACATAGGGCCATACTAAACATGACTTGATTTTACAAAGATATTGAATATCAGATACGTCCTTACTAGTCAGCGACCGTACAACAACACAGAGCTATCTCGAGTCTTTGATTATTCTGAAAAGCCGAATTGCTGAATATGACGCCATAATGTATTTGATAGAGCGTCACTTCCTCTACAATTCTAATAGAGCAGAACTGTCAGTGTGTTTGATCTAGCTAAAATATTCAGACAACATTTTTCAGTATATTGTTTTCACGAATATCCCGTAAAATCGTGTGAGTAAAAAATTACAGTTTATAGAAACGGCTAGTTCCGATTTCCATGAAACTTGTCGGGCTTGTAGAGCTATACATGCTCTATCGAATACATGATGGCATCATATTCAGCAATTCGGCTTTTCAGAATAATCAAAGACTCAAGATAGCTCTGTGTTGTTGTACGGTCGCTGACTAGTAAGGACATATCTGATATTCAATATCTTTGTAAAATCAAGTCATGTTTAGTATGGGCCAATATGCCTTCTCACGAGAAGTTCGAATATGGTCTTGAATTTTGTTTCTCACCTTGTTTTAGTGATGTAAACTATCAAAAACTATTTCCTAAAATTGTACAAAAAAAAACGATTGTTGAGTGAGTCTCGTTTTTTACTGGTCAATCCTTTCAGGCCCATGGCTCCGCCTATGGACGAAATCTCTTTAAAATTTGATATTTAATATGGGGAGTGTGTATTATGGGCATTTTCATCCAATTTTTTTAAAAATCTTTCAAGTCATTTTCAACGCATAGCCGTACCCCCTACGGGAATAGCAAGAAGTATTTTGGTCATCCCTGTGAAGGAGTGTGGACGTGAGTCAAAAATTATCTGAGTGATCTCATTAGGGTTATAAATCTTATATAGATACGTGCGCCGAAGCCTCTTCTATGACACAGAGAAAACCGCTTCTCTATATCTTTTTGGATTCACGAGTTATTCAAAGATTACAAAACTTGAAAAAACCGTACTATATTTCCTACGGTGGGCCTGAAAAGGGCTAAAGTATTTTGAGTCTATCTCCATCAAAACAAAAGCGTTTCGAAAAACTTGTTTTACCAGAGGTGGGCAAGTACGGACTTTTTCGAGTACGAGTACGAGTACAAGTACAGCCATTTCGAGACGAAAATACGGGTTTCGAAAGCGGTTGCTGGGAAAATATGATTATGACTCTAAAATGTGACGTGTCTATGTCAAAAAGCAGGGAATTGAAAAAATTAACAACCAAAATGTTTTTTAACTATCTTTTATTGTAAAGTTTCAAGAAGAAAATATTATAACAGAACTTTATTACATTTTAAGAAAGTAAGTAAACAAACATTTTTGCCAGCTAATTTTGCTCGATGTGGACGGATGACAAAACCACTTTGAGAAAAAACTGGTTCTTTGGGAGCAGTTGTTGCCGGTACTGACAAGTATTTCAATCCAAGTTGATATAAACATGGATATAGATGTTTTTTTGTAAAAAGTAAATCTTCACGATTCTTTTCGCATAAAAAACCATCAAGTTCGAGTGAAACTTTTGATTTATCATCAGATGATATCGTCTTGGTATCATTTAAATAAGGATATAGACATTTTCGTTTTATGGAAGAATCAGTACTCTTCGACAGACTAATCCCTAGCAGCTTGTTCAGCTGTGTTTGATACTTCAGCATCCATACTCTTTGATAATTGATAAGTTAATTTAGAAAAAAAATGAACAAAAGTACTACGAATTTTCTCAAGAACACACATTTTTACACCAGTATGAAGATTATTAAGCCACAATAATTTAAAACGAGGATCAATGAGTGGAGCAATAAGAAAAATCACATCTGAAAAATGTTCTGACATAGAGTAAGAATCGAAAGGCACATCAATTTCAAAATGACGAAGAAGTCCACTAAATCGCGATTTAATTGATGAAATACGAGCTTTACATAGAGAAGCCAGAATTAAAGTAGAAGAAAGTTCACGTTCAATTTTGTTATAATAGTTTCCTTTTTTCTCATTGAGAATTGAGTTTTTGTTTAAATGAAAATTGTTCAAAAAGAAAATTCTTCATTTAGTTCGTATATTTTCAAATAGTGATTTAACCATGGAATAAAATATTTTAATCTCACTTTCTTTTATACATAAAATGATCATAAATCTTTAGTATGTATGATAATATGTAAAACACGTGATCTAACTTAAAGTCATGACTGTTCAATTTAATCGGAAGAAAAAAGATACATCAATAAAACATGATATAGAAAATAAAAATTTCTTTCCTCTATGATATGTTCGAGTTCTATGTTAGAAAATAACGGAATACACTACTACAAAATGTCATATATATATATATACTTTCACTTCTCTATACATTGTATGTCTCATGAAAGAAACACAAATAAATAAAAATTTGTATCTACGTGCATAGAAAACAGCATGATTAATTAATTATATAAAAAGTCAATAGTCAAAAGTGATTTGAAAATGAATTAAAATTTTTTTATTTCGAATGGCAACTAATTTAATAGTCGATATTGAAGATATAAATGATTATAGTTATTTCATCGATAATTATCATTATTTATTTGAATATCGATGTTTAAAATCATTTAATCCATTAATAAAACAAGGTTAAAATCATGTTCCACTTAGTCTACGTCGAAGTATATCACTTGAAGACTGTTCCAAAGAAACAAAATTAGATTCTTTAGAAAAATCAAAACAACAAGATCGTTCATTGCCAAACTCAATATTAAGTTCTTCACACAATTCATTTTGTCTTCGACTTCGACCATATAATTGGTCGAATACAGCAGTTCATATTAAATCTTCAATTGAACATGTTATTTTATGTCCTAAATTTACAAATGAATTTATTGAAGATAAAGCAAAAGAAGATAAAGTTTTAATAAAATTTGCTAATTGCAAAAGAAATGGACGTCGAAATGCAATTTGTTCCGCTACTGATAAACTTTTTTATAATCAACAGATGATTTTATTTATTACTGTTTCTCACGAAGTTCAAGATGGATATATCCCTCCGTAGCGAGATGAGACAATTTGACACCGCGACTCGTGGATCTCTTTTATATAACCTGAAATTTTTTATCTAGTGTGAAAATTTAAACCATATCAAACCAGTGATTGAAGTTTTATAGAGCAAGTCATTTTGAAAAAGTTATTATAGAAAATGATTATAATGCCTTTTTTATAGAAAGTTCTCTTCATTTATTCCTAAAACAAAGCTAATAAGAAACATTATTCTTGCTAATTTGTTATTGAAACAATACTTTCCCTTTTTATATGCCATATATACTGTTAATTTTATTGAAAAAATAATTAGAATCAACTTAGTATCACTCGGCATAATGATATCCTAGTGTGTATCAACCAATGTAGATGCCAGTGAAAGGCAATAAAGAACAAATGAAATCTAAATCAGATGAACATTTCGATACAGTGTAGAACGTTTTACAAACTAGGTTCTAATTAGAATTAATGGCGAACAAGGCTAACCGATGAAGCAAAATATGTATATCGAACTACTATACATGTGAGATTTCTCATGTACATGGATCGCTCTGAAAGTTTTTAGATTCTTGATTAAATAAATAGATATATACGAGTTTGGTAGTTGTGGTAGTAGACCCAAGTCTTACAAAAAAGTCCACAAAGTTTTGGCTTTTGGACATTTCTACTTTCGTTTTATTGTAGATTAAGTGATACCCTAGTAATACGTTTTTTTGGCATTGCTATGAATCTCACACAAGACCAAATTCGAGTTATGATTTATTATGATTACAAAAAAACATTTGGCGACTCTTGTGTTTCGCGTATAACAGTTTACAATTGGTATGCTGGATTTAATCGTGGCAGAGATCACTTTGAAGATGAACCTCGTGCTGGCCGACCAAGAAATGCGATCACTTCAGAAAACATCGAAGCTGTCCGTCAGCTGGTCAACGTTGATCCACACGTCACATACTAAGAGATAGAAGACACCTTGCAGATTGGATCGGTAGCAACTGAATCTATTCTTCATGATTATCTTGGTTTGAAAGCGGTTACATGTCGTTGGGTGCCTCATTTTTTGACTGAAGCTCAAAAACAGGACCGTGTTGATTATTGCCTGGAAATGTTCGAGAAGTTCAATGGCGGCAGATCAAAACGTGTTTATAACATTATCACTGATGAAGAAAGCTGGTTTTCCTATAATGATCCAGAGACGAAGCGTCAAAGTCAAGTTTGGGTTGCAAGCAATGATTCTCGCGCAACCAAAGTTCGTAGGCAACGTTTTGTTGGTAAACATATGTTTGCAATTTTCTTTATGAAATCTGGTTTTAACACAATGATTCCTCTTGAAAACGGTAAAACAGTTACAGCTAAGTAGTATACAAATGAATATCTTTCAAATGTTTTGAAACAAGTGGAGAAACATTGACATCTCAACGATCTCATTATTCACCATGATAGTGCATCAGCACACAAGGCAACACAAACAATGGAATATTAAAACGCTCAACGCGTGAAGTTGATGGGTCATCCAGCTTACTCACCGAATTTGAGTCCTTGCGACTTCTGGCTATTTCCAAAAATTAAAGAACAGCTTCGTGGCAAAATTTTTCAGAACATTAATCAGCTTCATGCTGCTGTCCAAGAGCAAATGGACCGCCTTCGAAAAGAAGATTTCTACCAACGCTATGAACAGTGGTTCGAAAGAATGAATAAGTGCATTAGTGTACAAGGAGATTCCTTCGAACAAATATAATAAAATTGTTTTAAACTGAGCTAATAGTATTGCAAATCTAAAAACTTTCAGAACGACTCACGTACATTCGCTCCATGAATGTTTTTATTGGACCCGAATGAAGTGACACAAATGAAAATGTGATGTTATATTCAGACTTAATCCAGTGTTCGATATGTGCAGGCGTCATTAATGCCAGTGAGTTGTAACGCGATGCAAGCTGTAAAATATTCATTGTTCTCGGATTGAAAACAACTAACGAATAGATAACTGACAATATTACTAGAATATATAGTGAATAATAAATCGAAAGCGATTTTTGATAAGAATATATGACATATAGCAGCAAGCGCAAAATGACGTGCACCAGCATATCAAGGCTAATACTCCACAGTGAACCAATACCAATCGACCAATGTTCTATATCGACGTAGTTTTGAAAGAATAGCCATACGCTTGCATAATTTCCATTTGATTCACCAAGTAAACATATGATTAACGAGATTAATAAAATACCAGGCCAATATCGACAAGCACGTCGGAGAATATATACTGGATATCTCTTGAAAAACCCATTATTATGCTTCATTTTATCCCATTGATGAACACATTTCTTGGTCAACAGAAAACCAGATAGCACGAAAAATGTTTCTAACGAATATGTTAATAAGAGTAGTGGAGAAAATGAAAAACTATTCACATAGTTGAGCCAATGATTATGTGGATAATGTTGAATAAATGAGTTTAGTAGAGCAAATAGATGAACAGCGATAATCATCAAACATGATATAGATCTTAAACCGTCAATAAGTTCCAAATGATCGCTATCATGCGAATAATAAAGAATAAAAATCTTTTTTTATATGCAATAAGTTCATGTTCTATTGAGTACTGAAAAGGCAAATCTAAATGGTATCTTTCGTTTTCTTCAAAAATCAAAACATACTAAATGGTGTTATTTTTAAAAGAAATATTACGGCTACACTTTTATAAGACTGAGTCTTCCGAACTTTTTCGTTTTATGCTATGATGAATAGATTATCGAAAAAAAATTGAAATATTATTATTATAAACTTAGTAGTATAAAAGTAGAATGAGGTATCTGAAAAATGGTGACACAGAAATAGAAGGAAATTTTGCAAACTTCTAGTAAATTGTACATTAAAGAATTCAAAATTATGGTCGATGAAAAATGGTAATCGATTTCTGAAAAGTAAGAATCTATTTTTGTCAAGTAAAATAATGACATTCGATTCACCAGCTCGGACGTGTGTCACTGAAGGAATATTATGTTGCTACATGTAAAGATAGGAGAAAATGTGACATTTATTTTTTTTTGTTGTCCTATTGCGCTCCACTTTCTTCGTGATACTCCACAATGATGATAATGAATGAAAGAAAACGAAAATAGATTACATAAAGAAGAAAAAAATCTGTAATGATGATAGTAAGAGTATGCAGTATCTATGCACTGCTTCAATATTTATGTTAACTCTCTGACCAAGGGATTTTGCCATAATTCTGAACAGTAGATGATTTACCTTGTAACTCCTTCAAACGAGAATTGATGTTTACCAGTTGAGTGCTTCTAAATTTTCTTACTCTTACGACTCTAGGATTGCTTTGATTTCGTCTTATTTTGTCTGCTAATAACTACAGTCGTACTATTCTTGCAAGATCATTCCCGATTGATTTTTGTTAGTATGCGCGAAAACTGAACGATCATTGCTACGACTCTTTATCATTAGTGCTTCGGAGATTATCAATGTGCTTCCAATGTTAAGTCGATCCAAATGTTAATGGAGATCGATTTCAATGCTCTACGACATGGATTACAGAGTCCATTTTTGACCAATCGTAGTCAGTATGACCCAGAACTAAATGACAACTGAAAAGTATCTCTTATTTCATGTACCTTTCAAATTCGTTTCACCGTCTCCTCTGACCAATTTATCGCATGCAATTGGTTCCAGGGGTAGATTCTCGGTTCTCTTCTCTGTTACTCACGCGATAAAACAATGACGCTAAAAAATCGTTCATGGAAAGAAAGTTCAATATCATTCTCGAGTTTTTCTTTTCTACTAAAAATAGCGTCATCGTTTGTTTGTCTAATTAAATGTGTCGATCGGTTCTCGGAAAGAACAGAAGTTTTCAAAAGCTAGTCCCGATAGTTTTTTGGCGAATCAATATCAGAAATCAACGCTGAGTATACAGAGGGAGTATAGCACCCTTGTGCTCCCCAATGTGGTTACGCCTTAAAATCTGCATGGTATTTTACAATAGACAGTATCAACAGTCGTGTTTTGCTGCCGGCTTCATGCAATGATTGTCAGCACCCTTGAAAGTGCCTGAGTCTGTCAAACTTTTCTACCGATCACGTTTTGATAACTAGTGAACGCGGATAACTGATGCTTATAACCATTCCAGCAGATACATGTGCGCAGACAGACAGCTGTATTCTTCCAGCATTGATTTGACTCACGATGGTGCCGCACATTGTTCGTTTTCTATTTGTTTTATATGGAGTCAGAACTCTTCATTCTTTCGTTCGATTATTTAATCGAAATCATTTAAACTAAACATATACAATTGACGCATACAGAAACAATCTGTCCTTTCAAATATAATACACAACAAAAAAAAGCCAAAATATCTCATTATCAGACATAATGAACAACGTTTTTTTAATTTTGTTTCAAGTTCATCAGCATCTTCATATTGCTATTGTATTAGCTAAAAACAATAAAAAAATCAAATAAAGACTGATATATTTTATTATCAAACCAATAAATGTTGCTGACATTTTCAAACTACGAGGTAGTATGTCAAATAAATAAATGATTGAAATTCAATTTTTAAGTAATGGATAATTTTCTTATACTATTTCTGATAATATTGTTGGAGCTATTTCTAAAAAGAAATAATGAAATTAATAATAGTTATTTTTTTTAAATAAATATACTCAACCATCATCAATATTATCTGGTGAAATAATTGTTTTACCTACCTCATTATCACAGCTAAATAAATTTAATTTAATTTAATTTTAAATCAAAAACAAAAATGAAAGCCGCTATCATCATTGGATAATATACGTTGGAATTTATCTATTGTATTCTCATTAGTATCATTTGGTATTATACGAGCAATCGGAAAGAATAGATAATATAATTCATTATAAATAAATTAATAATATTCAACATATATCTCGTGCCGATCGTCGTTTTTCATAATCATCAAGATTTAATGGTAGAAAAGAACGTTTTTTTCGTTGAGTTGTTGATTGTTGTTCTTTAGGT